GTGGGGAGGAGAGGGGAGATGTGGGGAGGAGAGGGGAGATGTGGGGAGGAGAGGGGAGATGTGGGGAGGAGAGGGGAGGCGTGGGGAGGAGAGGGGAGGCGTGGGGAGGAGAGGGGAGATGTGGGGAGGAGAGGGGAGATGTGGGGAGGAGAGGGGAGATGTGGGGAGGAGAGGGGAGGCGTGGGGAGGAGAGGGGAGATGTGGGGAGGAGAGGGGAGACGAGGGGAGGAGAGGGGAGGCGTGGGGAGGAGAGGGGAGGCGTGGGGGAGGAGAGGGGAGGCGTGGGGAGGAGAGGGGAGGCGTGGGGAGGAGAGGGGAGCTGTGGGGAGGAGAGGGGAGCTGTGGGGAGGAGAGGGGAGATGTGGGGAGGAGAGGGGAGATGTGGGGAGGAGAGGGGAGCTGTGGGGAGGAGAGGGGAGATGTGGGGAGGAGAGGGGAGATGTGGGGAGGAGAGGGGAGCTGTGGGGAGGAGAGGGGAGGCTGTGGGGAGGAGAGGGGAGATGTGGGGAGGAGAGGGGAGGATGTGGGGAGGAGAGGGGAGCGTGGGGGAGGAGAGGGGAGATGTGGGGAGGAGAGGGGAGGCTGTGGGGAGGAGAGGGGAGATGGTGGGGAGGAGAGGGGAGATGTGGGGAGGACGAGGGGAGATGTGGGGAGGAGAGGGGAGATGTGGGGAGGAGAGGGGAGATGTGGGGAGGAGAGGGGAGATGTGGGGAGGAGAGGGGAGATGTGGGGAGGAGAGGGGAGATGTGGGGAGGAGAGGGGAGATGTGGGGAGGAGAGGGGAGGCGTGGGGAGGAGAGGGGAGGCGTGGGGAGGAGAGGGGAGATGTGGGGAGGAGAGGGGAGATGTGGGGAGGAGAGGGGAGCTGTGGGGAGGAGAGGGGAGGCTGTGGGAGGAGAGGGGAGATGTGGGGAGGAGAGGGGAGCTGTGGGGAGGAGAGGGGAGGCGTGGGGAGGAGAGGGGAGATGTGGGGAGGAGAGGGGAGGCGTGGGGAGGAGAGGGGAGGCGTGGGGAGGAGAGGGGAGATGTGGGGAGGAGAGGGGAGATGTGGGGAGGAGAGGGGAGGCGTGGGGAGGAGAGGGGAGGCGTGGGGAGGAGAGGGGAGATGTGGGGAGATGCCGGCAGGAGAGGAAGGAGAGAGAGGCGCTGCTCTCTGGGTGGCGTCACGCGGCGGCCCCGCACGCCGTCTCCGACGTCCCCTGAACGTCTCTGGCGCGCGAGCACGATTCGAATCTGCGGGCAAGGCCGCCCCGGTGAACAACAGCTGTGCGGTTTGTCAACCATCAACAGGCATAGCTTTAACACGCAGCAGCAGCAGCAGTAGTAGGAGGACTTTCACCGCCAATATCCATAATAGAGGATTTGTTGTGGGTTAGATCGCATAAATATCAACGTGTCATGAAACCCATCACCACCCGACACGTCAGCAAAAACGCGGCCAACTCGTGACTAGTTCAGCACAAACCGGCTGTGTGGCAGAGAGTTAAAACCCACTCCAACATTTACAATGCGACTACCGTGACCTTTCCGCCAGGTAAATTACAACAGCAGCATCATCAGGCGACAGCGCAGGATTGTGGAGAAATCCTCCCCCTGCTTCGGTCTTTAACTCCGCATCGAGCGGATGGAGCCGATGTCTTCGCGAGTGTTCCTCCCTCTATTTAAGACCAAAACTACGAGCAGGATTTCTCCACAATTCTGCCCTGTCACCTGATGAAGCTTCTCCTGCTGCTTGCTGCTGTTGTTGTAATTGACTGGCGAAAATGTTACGGTATTCGAAATTGTAAATGTAGTAGTGGGTTTCACTCTCTAACACGCAACCGGTTAGTGCTGAACGAGTCACGAATTGCCACGGTTTTATTTACTTGACAATCTTACGAGTTGGCTGCGTCGGTCGGGTGGTGGCGGGTTTAACGACACATACATTTACGCGATCTAACCCACAAAAAACCTCTTATGTATAAAGATATCGTACGAGGCGACTCATGCTGCCTGATTCGCCTCGCCTGGCCATAAAGATCCCGTGACTCAATTCCAGAATCGGGCCACATTGTGTTGCGTGCGTGCCGGCATCACGGTCGCCACCAAAAACGCGCTGACTCGAGTTTGGATGACGTACGGCAAACGTCGTCCCCTCCTACGTGAGGCTATACATAGGGGACGGCTGCCTGCTCAGGGTGGGGAGTGGTGGTGGTGGTGCCCCTAAGCTAGAGCCGCACAGCAACGTCACCCTCGACTTTGTGAACGACACCACAGCGGCCTGTGTTTGTGAGACGTAGCAGCAGCCCCACGCACACCACGGGGAGGACGAAAGCGCGCCCCACACACCACGGGGGCTCAGTGGGTGTTGTTGTTGTTGTTGTCAGGAGGGATGGGAGGCTGATCCTCTGGAACAGAGAGGGTAGCCCGGTGGCCAATTAGAGACGTCCCAGTGGGACTCCTGGCGCAGGTGGCCCAAATGGGCCCTGGGGAGGAAGGAGGGTCCACTAGTTTGATGGAGCAGTTGGACTCGTGAGCGAGGTGGCCCAGAAGGGGCAATGTGGTCCAAGAAAACGACGTGTTAGAGAGTTAGAGAGTGTGTGGTAGAGAGTGTGGTAGAGAGTTAGAGAGTGTGTGTTAGAGTGTGTGTTAGAGAGTGTGTTAGAGAGTCTGTGTTACAGAGTGTGTGTTAGAGAGTGTGTGTTAGAGAGTGTGGTAGAGAGTGTGTGTTAGAGAGTGTGTGTTAGAGAGTGTGTTAGAGAGTGTGTTAGAGAGTCTGTGTTAGAGAGTGTGTTAGAGAGAGTGTGTCAGAGAATGTGTGTTAGAGAGAGTGTGTTATAGAGGGTGTTAGAGAGTGTGTGGTAGAGAGTGTGTGTTAGAGAGTGTGTGTTAGAGAGTGTGTTAGAGAGGGTGTGTTAGAGAGTCTGTGTTAGAGAGTGTGTGTTAGAGAGTGTGTGTTAGAGAGTGTGTTAGAGAGTGTGTTAGAGAGTGTGTTAGAGAGTGTGTTAGAGAGAGTGTGTTAGAGAGTGTGTGTTAGAGAGTGTGTGTTAGAGAGTGTGTTAGAGAGTGTGTTAGAGAGTGTGGTAGAGAGTGTGTGGTAGAGAGTGTGTGGTAGAGAGTGTGTGTTAGAGAGTGTGTTAGAGAGTGTGTGTTAGAGAGTGTGTGGTAGAGAGTGTGGTAGAGAGTTAGAGAGTGTGTATTTAGAGAGTGTGTTATAGAGTCTGTGTTAGAGAGTATGTGTTAGAGAGCATGTGTTAGAGAGTGTGTGTTAGAGAGTGTGTTAGAGAGTGTGTTATAGAGTCTGTGTTAGAAAGTGTGTGTTAGAGAGAGTGTATTAGAGAGTGTGTGTTAGAGAGTGTGGTAGAGAGTGTGTGGTAGAGAGTGTGTGTTAGAGAGTGTGTGGTATAGAGTGTGTGTTAGAGAGTGTGTGGTAGAGAGTGTGTGTTAGAGAGTGTGTGTCAGAGAGTGTGTGCTAGAGAGAGTGTGTTAGAGAGTGTGTTAGAAAGGGTGTGTTAGAGAGTGTGGTAGAGAGTGTGTGGTAGAGATTGTGTGTTAGAGAGTGTGTTAGAGAGTGTGTGTTAGAGAATGTGTGTTAGAGAGTGTGGTAGAGAGTGTGTGTTAGAGAGTGTGTGTTAGAGAGTGTGGTAGAGAGTGTGTGTTAGAGAGTCTGTGGTAGAGAGTGTGTGTTAAGAGAGTTTGTGTTAGAGAGAGTGTGTTAGAGAGTGTGTTAGAGAGTGTGTGTTAGAGAGTGTGTTAGAGAGTGTGTTAGAGAGTGTGTGTTAGAGAGTGTGTGGTAGAGAGTGTGTGTTAGAGAGTGTGTTAGAGAGTGTGTGTTAGAGAGTGTGTGGTAGAGAGTGTGTGGTAGAGAGTTTGTGGTAGAGAGTTGTGTTAAAGAGTTGTGTTAGAGAGAGTGTGGTAGAGAGTGTGTGTTAGAGAGTGTGCTATCGAGCATGCTAGAGATTGTGCTATTGAGCGTGCTAGAGAGTTGTCTAGCGAGTGTGCTAGTGAGTGTACTAGTGATTATACTAGTGATTGTGCTAGTGATTGTGCTAGTGAGTGTGCTAGTGAGTGTACTAGTGATTGTACTAGTGAAAGAATGCGACTGTGCGGGCCGGGTTAGACGCAGCGGTTCAACAAAGCCATAGCTCGCGACATGTGTCTTTAATCTATGAAAATGGGCACAACAGATACCGTTGCTGACCTTACGTGAACTCAACCCATACGTTAACGCAACCCTTACGTTAACTCAACCCTTACGTGAACTCAACACTGACGTTAACTCAATCCATACGTTAACTCAACACTTACGTTAACACAACCCTTATGTTAACACAACCCTTACGTTAACTCAACCCTTATGTTAACTCAGACTTTACGTTAACTCAGACTTCTTGGTTCTTTCGGTAAAGTCACGTAGAAAGAAAGTAATAAAATAATAAAAATAAAACATAATAAAATAATTCTCACGACGTTTCGGCCACAACGCAAGCAGCCGTCCTCAGGTGAAGACCAGGTCTGTCGGGGAGACAGCGTCTGAATGAAACACCACCACGCTTGGAGCGTATATTTAAGCTGGGTTGGAAGGGGGAAGGGCGCCTTTACAAAATAATTTGCATATCAAGAGGAATTTAGCATATTTCTGGGAAATGCAGGTATGTGATTAGTACTACTTGTGAAATGCGTAGGAGGTGGGCGGGGGGTTTCAAAGTCATATTATGCCCGTGCATTATACAGGATTAGCAGCATCAAAGGGAGGGGATAGGAGTAGCATTAATAAAGGGATGTTAATAGTATGTAGCTGCAGTAACTAAACAACCACGTAAAAAACTAAAGTATAAACTACATAGTATCATCAGTATACTAAATATACTCTCCAATAATCTCCAAGCGTGGTGGTGTTTCATTCAGACGCTGTCTCCCCGACAGACCTGGTCTTCACCTGAGGACGGCTGCTTGCGTTGTGGCCGAAACGTCGTGAAAATAATTTTATTATGTTTTATTTTTACTATTTTATTACTTCCCTTCTACGTGACTTTACCGAAAGAACCAGGAAGATGAATCCCTGCAGTCACGAAAGCTTTAAATCGAAAGTTAACTCAGACCTTACGTTAACTCAGACCTTACGTTAACTCAACACTGACGTTAACTCAACCCTGACGTTAACTCAACACTCATGTTAACTCAACACTCACGTTAACTTAGACCTTATGTCAACTCAACCCTTATGTTAACTCAACCCTGACGTTAACTCAACCCTCACGTTAACTCAACACTGACGTTAACTCAACACTCACGTTAACTCAACACTGACGTTAACTCAACACTGACGTTAACTCAGACCTTACGTTAACTCAGACCTTATGTTAAATCAACACTGACGTTAACTCAACACTGACGTTAACTCAGACCTTATGTTAACTCAACACTCACGTTAACTCAACCTTTACGTTAACTCAGACCTTACGTTACGTCCGCAGTTAACGTTGCTGACCTGAGGTTAAGTCAATAAATGACAAGAATGCAGTCGGCCCCAGCAGCAGCAGCCGCGTGCGAGCCCAAGAGGTCTCCCAGCTGAACGTCATCTCGACGTTCGTGCGTGGTGGTGCTGCTGCTTGCTCTGCTGCTGCTGGTGGTGATGCGTGAGGGGAGCGGTGGGGTAGCGGTTAGCGCGACGCTTACACTACGAATGCCCGGGGGCAAACACGAGTTCGATTCCAGCTCGCGGCCAACACCAGCGATGATTATCTTGATTATCTGAACCGGGCTTGGGCCTCCCCCTAGACTTAACAGACTGTAGGGGCAAGTGCTGTTAGCGAGCACCTATGAAGGCCGGAACGGTATACGAGGGGGTGGGTGGCCAGCACCACGCCCGACCGCCTTTGTCTCCCGAGTGGCGATGTTTACACACTGCACCAGGTACTCTTTTGAGTCTGAGTCGACCTGGCGGAGGCCGAGGACCGGTTCAGATAATCGCCACTGGTGTTGGCCGTGAGTGGGAATCGAACTCCGGTTGCTGGGTTCGTAGAGCAACGCAAACCCGTTACACTACCGCTCCCCATAACACTCTCTATCACTCTCTATCATACAATCTCAATAACTCTCTCTGTCACTCTATATCACACAATCTCTGCCACTCTCTCGATCACTCTCTTACCTAGATAAACTCCTAACGTTGCTCGGCTTCGGCCAGGCCTTCATCTCGAACGTTAGGCTCCTGTACACGGGCACATTCAGCCTCATGAAGATACACCAGTGAGTCGGCGCCCCTTTCCCTGTAATGAGGGGTGTCAGACAGGGATGCCCCCTCTCGGGGCTGCCGTACACCTTGTCCATTGAGCCACTCCTACGCCACCTGAGACAAAATCTGTCTGGCCTCAAGGTCCCGGGACCTGAGAACGCGGTTGTCAGGCTCTCAGCCTACGCAGACGACATGTGTCGTGCTCAACGACGTCTCCGCACTCTGCCAGGCAGCTGCAGTGTATGAGAAGGTCTCATCCGCCAGGATCAACTGGGCCAAATGCGAGGCTCTGTGTTTGGAGTCGCAATGCGGCGTACGCTGTGCTCCTCCCAGGAGGAATCAGTTGGCAGGCCGACGGAGTCAAGTACCTAGGGGTCTACCTGGGGAAACCACACGTCGCTCTGAACAACTGGACTGAGCTGGCCGACATAATCGAGGTTTAATTACTGACATGGGCACGCCTCGCTCCGCAGATGTCCTTTAGGGCCCGAGTGCTCGTTGCTAACAACCTGGCAGCATCTGTGCTGTGGCACAAGACCAATGCCCTCCAGTCTCCTGCCTGTCTACTCACCAGAGTGAACCGCTCACTCGTGCACTTCATCTGGCACAGGAAGCACTGGCTCAGGCCGGGGGTTCTCTGCCTCCCAGTGGGTGAGGGTGGAGCAGCGTCTGGTGGACGTCACCACCAGGGTCATGAGCTCCAGGGTCATGAGCTTCAGGCTCATGGCCTTGAAGCGGCTGCTGTACGACCGGGAGGAGCTACCCTGGAAGTCGCCGGTCCCTCACCCTGCTGAGAAACGCAGGAGGATACCTGGGGTACGCAAAGGAGCTCTTCCTGTTGGACCTGAGCCTGGTCGACTACACGAGGCTGCCAGGTCATTACCAGAACTTTTTTGACGCGTGGCAGAACTTCGAGTGGAGCAGAACGCGCGCGCACTACGACCTCGGCACATTTCCTGAACGAGCCCTTGTTCTGCAATGGCCTCTTCCAGTGGATCAGAGGAGAGAGGACCCTGGCTCTACGCTTCACATCAGTAGGGCTGCGGACAGTCTTCGACCTCGTGCAGGCCCACCAGCGCAAGTGAAAGACCGCAGATGAGATCGCCAGCACCGCGGGACTCCACTCCACGCTCGCCGGGGAGAAGCTGCTGTGGGACGTGCTGCTCGCCATGCAGGAGCTGCGCCTGGAGGTGGCGAGGGACAGTAGCGGCCCTCCCTCCCCCCTCCTCCTCCCTGGCCACAGCGACTCTGGGAAGCTACTGAAGCTCCGAGGCTGCTTGAACATGCCCATTAAGAGTGCCCCAAAGAAAGCACTCTACACGTGCTGTGTCAAGGTGCTGCATTCCTGGGACCTGCCCAACCTACCGGACACAAAATGGAGAAATAATGTATCTCCCCTCATTGTGGCCACCCCCCAGTAGAAACAAATGTACAAGTCACGTGGCCATCGGCCATGTGGCTCAGCCGAATCTCGCCGAGGGTACCAGAATTGTGCACTTTCTGCGGTGCCAGGGAGGTTCTGCCCCACCGGTACTTACGCTGCCAGCGGCTCAACCCAATGTTACAGCTTTTGGAGACCATTTACAGGAAACTGGGGGTGCCCTTCTACAACAGTAGCTTCGTATATTACTTGGCTAACAAGTTCCATGACCTCGACAAATTCGTCTACGCCCAAGCGAAGATGGCGGTGTACAAGACAAGAAAGAAGATGCTGCAAGGCGACACTGACGACTGCTCTGTGGTGCCAGTGTTGAGGGGCCTGCTCAAGGTGCGGCTCTGGCTGGAGCAGGCGTACCACTCACATGCTGGTGACGTGCGCATCTTCTTCGAATGCTCGGGAGCAGGAAAAGCCCTCTGCACTGGCGTGAACGGCACTCTCCTTTTCACCTTCTAACGTGCTCGGTCGTCGGGTGTGGCGTGCGCAACGACGACCACGTGGAGTTGTTTTGTGTTGTGTGTGGCACGTCTAGTGCCACGTGCCACAGCGCGTGTTTATTTTATTGTTTGGTTATTTTTTTGCTGCTGACTTTGTGTTTCGTATCGAAATTGTTTCCAGTGCTGTTGCTGCTGGTGGCAATAAAAGTGGTTTCAAAGTCAAAAGTCTATCACTCTCTATCACATAATCTCTATCACATAATCTCTATCACATAATCTCTATCACTCTCTCTATAATGGTCTCTATCACTCTCTATCACACAATCTCTATCACTCTTTATATCACTCTCTCTATCACTCTCTTGCAAACTCCGTCTGTGCCCAAGCAAAGATGGCAATTTTACAAGACCAGGAAAAAGATGTCACAAGGCGACACTGACGGCTGCTCTGCGGTGGCGGCAATGTCGACGGCCCTGCTCAAGGCACGGCTCCAGCTCGAGCTCACGCTCTGCTCCAAAGCCGGTGACGCGCGCATGTTTTTTGCACAGTGGGGGGGGGGGGGGGGGGTGAAGCCCTCTGCACCAGCGCAAACGGCATTCTGAACTTCACTTTTTAACGAGGGTATTCGTCGCGCATGGCGTAGCGTAACGACGTGGTGTTTGTGTTGCGTGTGGCACGTGCAAGCGCCACATGCCGCAGGTTGTGTATGTGACGCACACACGTGATGCTGTGCTCGATGTGACATTGTATCGAAATCGGCTCCAGTGCTTTTTCTGCTGGCAGCAATAAAATTGGTTTAAAACTCACAACTCTATCACTCTCTATCACACACTCGCTATCACTCTCTATTACACTCTCTATCACACACTCTCTAGCACACTCTAACACGCTCTCTAACACAGTCTCTATCAATACCAATACCCGCCATTTGCCACAAAGTGATGGTGACGTCACCACGGTACCTGTGCCAGGCCAGGTGCACTTTGAGGCCACGTGAATTGTAGAAGGCTCGCTGATAGGAGTTCCTGGGACAAACCCAGGTGCCATGGGTTGGCTGACTGAGATGACTGGTACATGCACCAGCTGTACCCCCGACTGTGCCAATGTGCTGCACTTTAGCTGCCCGGTGCTCTTGTTGTTGTTTGGAGCGTCTCTCGTCTGCCCTCCATTGTTGCTGGAGGGCAACTGCCTCCAGAAGCATCTTTCACCAGCCTCCTTCATAGAGGCAGAATCTTGACACCGCTGGTACTAGTCAGTAGGAAGTCCACTTAGCTCCACATTCTCTCGTACCGCATCAGTCCATCTCTTCTCCAGCCCATGTCATGCCCGTTTAGCCCCATCTATCCAACCAAACAGAATCTGCTTGGGCATGCAGTGACTGGGCATGCGGGCTACATTACTCAGCCAACACAACCTTGCCTGCCTGAGGAGCTTAGTGATGGGAACGTGTCCAGATATTTCAAGGATTTGTGAGCTCCTCACACAATCCAGCCTGGTTAAACCCAGTATGGATCGTAGGCATGTCAGCCTGAATGTTTCTAACCGGCGCAGATGTTCCATTAGAGGGGTACACCTTTCACAAGAATAAAGAAGGGAGGGAATGACTGGCCGAGAAGACCCACAGCTTCGAGTGGAGTGACATATACCAGGTAGAGTCCGCACAGCATTACACAGCCGATGAGAAGATAATGCCGCCCGGATGATTTGGAGTAAGACCTCTGCTGTCAAATCGGAGCTGGTCATGAGCACATTGCCCAGGTATGGGAACTCTCCACTCTCTCCAGAACTGCTCCATCACCAATGGGGAGCTGGGGAGGTAGCATAACATACCCAGACAGGTGAGCTGATGGTCAGACTCCACCACTTAGTGGCACACTCCAGCTTCAGCAGTAGTACCTTCAACTCCTCCTTTGAGTGAGCAGCAATCACCACATCATCAGCATATGGAACATGGTTGACCAATATGGAGCCATCCCTCGACCACACCAAGTCATCAATTCACCTTCCATTGTATCTGTACCGGATAGAAATTCCTCTGGTACAGCCATGGAACGCTTCTCGAATAACGTGGTCAAAGATGATGTTAAATAATGTGGGAGCCAGTTGACATCCCTTGTCGCAACCCAAGGTGAACAGGGAATAGCTCTGATTCCTGGCCATGTAGCTGTACCCGGGCCTGCCAACCATCATGCAGGCCCTTAAGGATTGTGAGCAGAGAGTTAGGGACTCACGATGAACAGCCTAGAGCCCTGGTATGTTGATGGCATCATAGGCCTTGACCAGATTAATAAAGTAGAGATGTAGGTCTTTTTGGAATTCCCTACACCTCTGCAGTAGCAAACAGAGAGAATATGGAATGAGTGCCATGTCACCCTGGTCTGAAACCAAATTTGGGGTCAGCAAGACTCTCCTCAGCGCGCCTGGCAAGGCGATGTTAAATAATCCTTCCCATCACGTTTCCAGGCACACAGAGAATAGAGATGCCCCTGTAGTCCTTAAAATCTGTGCAGTCCCCCTGTTAAAAAGGGGATAACCAGGGCATCCTTCCAATCCTGTGGAACCCATGCTGTGGTCCAGACAGTTGTGATGATGTCATATAGGGCAGTCTGCACATAGATGCCACCCTCCCTCAGCTTTTCGCTTGGGAAATCGCCTCTGCCTGGCACTTTCCTGGTCTCAGACTCTGGATTTCCCCTCATACTTACCTAACAGATGGCACCTCAGCCAACCACTCAGAAGGGGTGGCTACTTCTAGCAATATTTGGCAGAAGTAGCTTCATGATGTTGTCTGGGCTGAGGGAATTTCCCTCCCCCAAGACCTCACAGGAATGCTCTGCAAACCCGTTCCTCTGTTCCTGGGAGTCGGAGATAGAATCACCATTCGTTCCCTTAAGGATGGTGATAGGAGAAGTGCTGCAAGTAACTGTTTTGATGGAATTAAATAGTCATGTGTGATTGTGGGCTACTGAGGCAGATTCCATCTCCTCAGCAACCCGCGCCCACCACTCATCCTGGCAGCACCGCACGCTCTCCGACTCTCCAAGGCTGCAGTAAGCTTCCTCATTCTGCAATGTTGGATGTTGTAGACGACGGGAGTGGGCCTGTCGTTTCCTTTCAACCAGCCAGAACACCTCCTACTTCCGCCATGGTTTCTGGGGAGGTCTGGACCACATACCCAATGCAGCCATTCCATCAGCATGAGCCACAGTCCTGAACTTCACCTATTTCCCCTCAGCATCAGAAATAGGGAAGATGCCAAACACAGCTGCAAGCGATGTTGATATTCCTGCTTGCAACTATGGAGAGGTGCGGCTTGTGACTCAACCTGTAACAGGTGGTCTCCCTGTTACAGGTTGAGTCACAAACCGCATCTCTCCATAACAAAGGCTCAGCCTTTGTTATGCAGTCTATTCTTAGTCTTAAGCCTCACCTTACCATATTAATAAAAGTATGTGGCCCTTGCCCCACCACCTTCTCCAACCATTATATAAACGGAGTGGTAGCTTCTGCAATCTCTCATTTACTTGATACAGCTGTCGTGGCTGTGACGGTACCACCTGAAGACGGAAGCTTGTGTTGCCTCCGAAACGTCGTGATTTTTATTTTATTTTACTTTTTAATGTTTTTACCTACGTGACTTTACCGGAAAAAAAACCTAAGAATATGGGTCCTAGATGGACACCCAGTACTGGAGTGGAATAATGGCATTTGCATCTTACAGATGACAAGCTGATGGTCAGTGGGAAAATCCACTCCATGGTAGGCCCTGGTGTCGAGAACATAGGCCCGCATCCGCTGGTCCGTAAATATATAGTCCAGCAGATGTTCTTTCTTGGACATGGCATGCATCCATGATGTTGTGTAGATGCACCAATGCCGGAACAGTGTGTTGGTAATTAGAATCCCATGGGCTTCACAGCCTCCTACTTTTTTTATTGAGCTGATCTGGCCCATGCCTTCCGATCGCTCCAACCCAGGTGTCACCTGGATAGGAGTGATCACCCAAAAGCAATATTTTATTCCAAGGTGCCACATTAGCTAGTACCTGGGACAGGAGGGTATAGAAGGCGTCTGACTCATCGGCTTTGTCTGCATCCCTCCATTGATGTTCATCTTCATTAGGGGAATAAGCAACTACCACTATTCCTTGCCTCTTGTTGATGGGGAGGTGAGTCCACAGTAGTCTGGCATAAACAGCTTCCCACACCTCACCCCAACACTCCCACAGCCCCTTCATTATTTGTTCAACAGAAGTCATACTCCCTGTTGTTTGGCAGTTTCTTGCCCGAGTGGAGAACTGTCCAGCCCTCATGATGACTGGAGCCAAAACCGGTCCACTGGACTTCCTGGATTCCACAGAGGTCCAAGTGGTACCAATCCATCTCCCGACAGAGGTGTAGCAGCCTCTCCTCCGCAATGAGAGTCCGAACATTCTATCACACTGTCTATCACACCCTTTCACACTCTCTATCACACTGTCTATCACACTGTCTATAACACTCTCTATCACACTGTCTATCACACTCTCTGTCACACTGTCCATCACACTCTCTATCACACCCACCAATGTCTTTCACTGCATCGTTGGGTATCGCTCACGGAGTACGATCTGTCTGCTTGGTTGGGTAACAGAGTTCGGAAGTATGGGAACCCCCCAGTGTTTAGAAAGAGACCGTGTCACAAAGTCCGTCTTAGAGAGTCCGTGTTAGAGAATCCATGTTAGAGAGTCCATCAGTGCCTGCCTGAAAATGTAGCATAGTCTGTGTTGGCGTGTCCGAGTTAGAGTTTACCGTGAAAGTCTATGTAGACAAGGTGCGGTGTTAGAGTGTCAGGAAGAGTGTGTGAGTGTGAGAATGTGAGAGATTGTCAGGAAGAGTGTGAGTGTGAGTGTGTGAGAGTGTCTGGGAGAGTGTCAGGGAGAGTGTGTGAGTGTGAGAGAGTGTCAGGGAGAGTGTGTGAGTGTGAGTGTGTGAGAGTGTCTGGGAGAGTGTCAGGGAGAGTGTGTGAGTGTGAGAGAGTGTCAGGGAGAGTGTGTGAGTGTGAGTGTGTGAGAGTGTCTGGGAGAGTATCAGGGAGAGTGTGTTAGTGTGAGAGAGTGTCAGGGAGAGTGTGTGAGTGTGGGAGAGTGTCAGGGAGAGAGTGTCAGGGAGAGTGTGTGAGTGTGAGAGAGTGTCAGGGAGAGTGTCAGGGAGAGTGTGTGTGAGTGTGAGAGAGTGTCAGGGAGAGTGTGTGAGTGTGAGAGAGTGTCAGGGAGAGTGTGTGTGAGTGTGAGAGAGTGTCAGGGAGAGTGTCAGGGAGAGTGTCAGTGAGAGAGTGTGAGAGAGTGTCAGGGAGAGTGTGTGAGTGTGGGAGAGTGTCAGGGAGAGTGTGTGAGTTTGGGAGAGTGTCAGGGAGAGAGTGTCAGGGAGAGTGTGTGAGTGTGAGAGAGTGTCAGGGAGAGTGTCAGGGAGAGTGTGTGTGAGTGTGAGAGAGTGTCAGGGAGAGTGTCAGGGAGAGAGTGTGAGAGAGTGTCAGGGAGAGTGTGTGAGTGTGGGAGAGTGTCAGGGAGAGAGTGTCAGGGAGAGTGTGTGAGTGTGAGAGAGTGTCAGGGAGAGTGTCAGGGAGAGTGTGTGTGAGTGTGAGAGAGTGTCAGGGAGAGTGTGTGAGTGTGAGAGAGTGTCAGGGAGAGTGTCAGGGAGAGTGTGTGTGAGTATGAGAGAGTGTCAGGGAGAGTGTCAGGGAGAGTGTCAGTGAGAGAGTGTGAGAGAGTGTCAGGGAGAGTGTGTGAGTGTGGGAGAGTGTCAGGGAGAGTGTGTGAGTGTGGGAGAGTGTCAGGGAGAGAGTGTCAGGGAGAGTGTGTGAGTGTGAGAGAGTGTCAGGGAGAGTGTCAGGGAGAGAGTGTGAGAGAGTGTCAGGGAGAGTGTGTGAGTGTGGGAGAGTGTCAGGGAAAGTGTGTGTGAGTGAGAGAGTGTCAGAGAGAGTGTCAGGGAGAGTGTGTGAGTGTGAGAGAGTGTGTGAGTGTGAGAGAGTGTCAGGGAGAGTGTGTGTGAGTGTGAGTGAGAGAGTGTGTGAGTGTGAGAGAGTGTCAGGGAGAGTGTCAGGGAGAGGGTGTGTGAGTGTGTGTGAGTGAGAGAGTGTCAGGGAGAGTGTCAGGGAGAGTGTCAGTGAGAGAGTGTGAGAGAGTGTCAGGGAGAGTGTGTGAGTGTGGGAGAGTGTCAGGGAGAGTGTGTGTGAGTGAGAGAGTGTCAGAGAGAGTGTCAGGGAGAGTGTGTGAGTGTGAGAGAGTGTCAGGGAGAGTGTGTGTGAGTGTGAGTGAGAGAGTGTGTGAGTGTGAGAGAGTGTCAGGGAGAGTGTCAGGGAGAGAGTGTCAGGGAGAGTGTGTGTGAGTGTGAGTGAGAGAGTGTGTGAGTGTGAGAGAGTGTCAGGGAGAGTGTCAGGGAGAGTGTCAGGGAGAGAGTGTGTGAGTGTGTGTGAGTGAGAGAGTGTCAGGGAGAGTGTGTGTGAGTGAGGGGACCGCACCGCAAGGCGACCGCTCCCCGCGGGGCCGTGCGACCATACGCGTGAGGGTGTTCAACGCTCACATGGACACCGTACCCTCCGCTTAAACAACAACAACAACAACATGGTAACAACAACAATCATAATAACAACAGCGACAACAACAACAACCACGCGGCTGCGACTGTGTCTGCGAGGGTCCGCTTCGTCTACACCAACGTGTAAGGGGGGTGGACATGGGGGCGTTGGACACGACGTGAGGCCGTCTGCGCCGGAGACAAAACGGCGACGTGACGGCACCTGAAATCCACCGTCGATGAAACGCGAGAGTCGTGGAACGCCATGGTGGCAGACGGAGAAGAAGTCACCATGATGGCAGAAGAAGTCACCATGATGGCAGAAGAAGTCACCATGATGGCAGAAGAAGTCACCATGGCAGAAGAAGTCACCATGATGGCAGAAGAAGTCACCATGATGGCAGAAGAAGTCACCATGATGGCAGAAGAAGTCACCATGGCAGAAGAAGTCACCATGATGGCAGAAGAAGTCACCATGATGGCAGAAGTCACCATGATGGCAGAAGAAGTCACCATGATGGCAGAAGAAGTCACCATGATGGCAGAAGAAGTCACCATGATGGCAGAAGAAGTCACCATGATGGCAGAAGAAGTCACCATGATGGCAGAAGAAGTCACCATGATGGCAGAAGAAGTCACCATGATGGCAGAAGAAGTCACCATAATGGTAGAAGAAGTCACCGCGGCAGACGGAGAAGAAGAAGTCATTGTGGCAGAAGATGAAGAAGTCACCATGGAAGAAGTTGTCACCGTGTCAGAATAAGAAGAAGTCACCATGGCAGAAGATGAAGAAGTCATCGTGGCAGAAGAAGAAGTCGCCGTGGCAGAAGATGAAAACGTCACCATGGCAATTTTGGCAACACTTTTGCCTCGAGTTGTGGAGAGAGAAATAGCGGAGAGAGATAGGAGAGAGAAGATAGAGGAGAGAGAGAGAGGGGAGATATATAGGGGAGATAGAGGAGAGAGAGAAGAGAGAGGGCTGCCACTTCCGCCGTCCGTTTGTGAGCGGTGTTACTCCCAGGACCAAGAGAAATGGTTGAACACGAACTGTGCCGGAGAAGGGGACAAAAACTAAAACCTGAGCTTCTGGTAAAGGGGGACGAGAACTCCGCTGGATTTCAGCTGGGAGACGAGGAAAGTGACGAGGGGAGTGATGAGGGGAGTGACGAGGGGGACGCGGCAAGTGGAGGCGGTGGATGAGGGGTCCTCGTCATCCTCGTCTTGGTGGGCCCGACCTCCAGGCTGTCCCCAGCGTGTCCCAACGGCATGTACCATTGGCGTGTCCCACCGGAGTGTCCCACCAGAGTGTCCCACCGGAGTGTCCCACGGGCGTGTCCCATCAGCGTTCCCAACCGGCGGGTCCAACCGGCGTGTTCCACCGGAGCGTCTCATCGGAGTGTCCCACCGGCATTTTCCTGTAACAACAGCACAAGCCGCGTGCTCAGGGCCACCGCATTTCCCACGCATGCAAACTCGGGCTCACGTCTCAGTCGGCCTCAGCCTATCCATGCCACGTTGGCATTGGAGGTGTTAACTACCTCGCGGCGTCCTTCCCTTCACGAGCCTCCTCCATAGAGGTCGATCTTGACACCGCTGGTACAGGGTCATCGGCAAGTCCACTCAGCACCACATCCTCCTGTACCGCATTAGCCCATCTCTTCTCTAGCCCATGTCGTGCCTGTTTAGCCGGGTCCCAGACTCCATGTGGAGTCTGGGCACGCAGATTACATGATCCAGAAATAGTCCCACCTTCCAGAGGAGCTCACTAATAGTACTGTGCCCAGATCCCTTTGTAGGAACATTGCAGGGCAAAGAAGTCACCCTCATGAACGTCTATCACCCGCCCCTCCCCCCCCCTATCAATTCAAAACTTTTTCCTGTAATTGCGTCTCTTATTGAGAAAAGGAAGGGGGTCTTAGCGCAGGAGGCGATTTGAACCTGCTTAAATACCCCGTTCCAGATAAATGGCACTCGACTAATTCTGACCAAAACGCGGCACAGAAGCTTCTACTCAGTGAAATAATCACTCAACGCTAGTTGACAGACCGTTGGAGGACCCTCCACCCCACCGAAAGAGAATCACCCACATTTCTAGAGCCCAAAAGAAGCTTTCCAGAATCGATTATTTTCTCATCTCCATGCCCCTGTTACCACACCTCACCAAAGCGGAGATCCTGGATATGCAAATGTACGGCCACGCTCTGATGACAATCTAATTCATCTTAGACCAAAAAAATAATAACGACTTATAAATTATTGGCCCCTAGACCGTCGACTCTTAGAGCACGATCAACTGGTCAAAGAAATAAAAGAGGAAAATGAGGGATATATGAGTAACAATGTCGCTTCATCCCCACCTCCCTTTCCCCAAATACTATGGGATGCACGTAAAGTGTATGTATCAGAGGTTTCCCTCGTGGAGAAGGGAGCATGGAGGCTTAAATAAACATCTGGGAAAAATAACAGCGATGAGAGGATGTAAAGCCACGCAATCAGCTGAAATTATCAAAGAATCATCTTCTTGGTTATTTCGGTAAAGTAACGTAGAAGGGAAGTGATAAAATAATAAAAATAAAACATAATAAAATAAAATAATTCTCACGACGTTTTGGCTACAACGCAAGCAGCCGTCTTCAGGTGAAGAATGAGACACTGCCAAGCTAGGAGCTTATATATAAGCTGGGTTGGAGGTGTAAGAGGAGCGCCTTAACAAAAAGAATGTGCATATCAAGAGGAATTTAGCATATTCATGGGAGATGCGTAGGAGGTGGGCGGGGGGGTTTCAAAGTCATATTATGCCCATGCATTATGCAGGATCAGCAGCACCAAGGGAGGGTGCAGGGAGTAGCATTAACAAAGGAAAGGAATGTTAATAGTATGTAGCTGCAGTTACTAAACAACCACGTAGAAAACTAAAGTAAAAACTACATAATCGAAAATTTTAATCGAAAATTATCAAAGAACTGGATGGGACGAGACTAGAATGTAATAAACTGATAAACTATCAAATGAGTAGGTGATATGAAAACAGCCATGCTTCCCTTCCATGATGCCTCTGCAGCCACCACAATATTATTAGCAAGAATGGTTAAAACCAAGAAATACCGCTCATACATCTGCTCTATACGCAAAGGTAAAGACCCCCCTTTCCAGGACCAGAGCAATCAATGAATGCTTCCGGGTAAACTGGAAAATATTTTACCAACGATGACAGGAACGGCTCAGACGGGTTTCATCAAGAATAAAAACTCCGCTGAACATGTCAGGACCCGAGTCAATGCAACAGAGATTGCTAGCAGGCACAATCTCCCAGTGTACGCCTTGATGCTGGATGGGGACAGGGCGTTTGATATACTTGAATGGAACTTCTATTTAAGATAATGCGTACATTTGAATTTCCCTAACAATTCATAGACATGTGCAAACTCTGATACACAGATCCCACGGCCTTAGTTATGACAAATGTATTAACATCTCAGAGTTTTTCGCTGGGAAAGGGTGACGAGACAGGGCAGTCCACTGTCTCCCCCTACTCTGCACCCTGCCAATGGAACCACTCGCCGAAAGGGTGAGGGAAAATCACTCCGTCGTGGGGGTGAAGTGTGGCAAGGTTGAAAATAAAATACGCTTTTTTTCTGACAATATTTTGAAGTAATAAATTCCCACAATACCAGCATTGGCAATGCAATATGGATAGGCATTAGGATACAAGCTAAATGTAACAAAATCGGAACTAATGCTGCCATCAGCAGCATCTCCTAAACCTACAAATGACTTTGTCCCATTTTAATGGTCTCCATCCCATATTAAATGTCATTGTGACCTCTTCTCGAACTCAATCTTTTCAATGAATTTACCCTCGGCAGCTTCAGGAAACAACCACCTTGGTCGCCGTCTGGGCAGATGTCCCACTCTCTTTATAGAAACGAGGACATCTAATTAAGACGACGATCCTTTCCAAATTACTATACCTCATGAGGATGGTCCCCACTCAGATCCCGAAGACTTTTTTTGCAACACTCCAGGACCTCTTCTAAGCCAGCCATTGTAAGTCATGAGTATGAAAGAGAGTCTACTGGGGCCAAAAACCAAGCTCCGCCTTGGCCCATGTTAATGTTAGAACCATGTACGAGACCTCCAAGACAGCACAAGTCCTCAGCGAGATGAACATGTACAATCTCGACATCCTGGGGATAAGTAAATGTCGCTGGACCAGCTTTGGACGTCTTGTGACGAATGACGGATCAGTGGTGCCATACACAGGCCATGAGAACATCCATACACATGGTGCTGCCATCGCACTCTCTAAGGAGAAAGCCAGATCCTTACTGGATGGGAGCCAGTGAGTGAGAGGCTCATTCGAGTGCGCCTCAAGTCGAAGTTCTGCAAACTCACCATGTTGCAGTGCTCTGTACCAACAAATGAGGCAGAGGAAGAGAGCAAAGAGGACTGGTATGAATAACTACAGCTGGCTGTTTCAAAGGTGCCCCAGCATGACATCCTCCTCGTTATCGGCAATATGAACGCTAAAGTGAAACCCAACACCAACCACGACGGAAGTGATGAGAGGAATAACAATGGGGAACGAGTTGACTTTTGTATGAACAACAACCCTGTCATTGGTGGGACCATCTTCCCCCAGAAGAACATACATGAACTCACCTGGAAGTCTCCTGATGGTAGCACCACCCACCAGATTGACCACATTATTATCGATGGAAAGCGACGTGTGGGTCACTCCAGGATGTTAGAACATACCGTGATGCAGATGCATACACCGACCACTACCTTGCCGCTGTTACTATCAAGCTCAAGAGGGTCATACCACAAGGTCAGTGCCGGAAACAACTTGGACATTGCAAAACTCAAGTGCCCGAAGAAGATCAAAGAGTTTGTCATGGAGCTAAAGAACTGTTTTAGTTTGATAAATACCACCACTGATATGGAGAAAGAATAAAACATCAACAGAAAATGGGATAACATCAAGAACACCTATAATGAAACAGCACAAAGGGTCCTAGGTTTCAAACAAAAGGGGCTAAAGAGTGGATAACACCGGGTACATGGCAGACATTTAAAGAGAGAAAACTAATTAAAAAAAGCAACTAAACTCCAAATCACCAAGATTACAAGAACAGGCCCAGATAGCCAACAATAACAAGGACAGATAAGTCAAGGCGAGAGCCAGGAGAGACAAGACGGCCTTTGTTGAGAACCTGGCTAGTGAAGCTGAGGAGGCTGGAGACCAATGGAGACTTGAGCACAGTCTACAAGGACCACCTAGCGTCTTTGGGACAGACATTACAACCAATCTGCTCCCAATACAGACACAAATAACAACACCATTACCTCTGAGAGTGAACAAGCAGCTAGATGGGTCCAACACTACCAAGAAGTGCTCAACCTCCCTGAACCAGAACAGCCAGCCAACATCCCATCAACAAATGATATCCTTGACATTGACACCGGTCCTCCTGACATATCTGAGGTTCTATCAAATCTCTCAAGAGTGGCAAGGCATGTGCAACAGGATAAAATCCACGCAAAGATGCTAAAAAAACATTCCCACAGCTGCCAAGGTTCTGACAGACCTCTTCCATAACATTTGGGCCACAGACAACATCCCCGATGACTGGACTAAACGTCTCATCATTAACATACCCAAAGAAAGGAAACCTCAAGAACTGCAATAGCTGGCGAGGAATCACCTTACTATCCATTCCCAGCAAGGTTTTCAGCAGCGTTCTCCTCAACAGAATGGAGACAGCCATTGACACCAGGCTCAGGCAGGAGCGAGCGGGATTCAAAAGAGGAAGAGAATGTAGATAGTTGTCAACCCTCTTATTACAGACCAATTCTTACCTTATTGGTCACCCCGTGTCCTTATAAATTTCAACAATCATCCTACAAAATCCCATCACAAGAGAAAAACACAAACAAATAGACAAATAAACTGCCCATATTGAAACGGCTGAATGCCGTATGGACCTGAAAGCTCAATTTCCCTGTACAAGAATACGGGTAAACCGTGTGGGTTGACAGGTATGGATGTATGGACTGGACCATTGCACTGTGAAACAACATGGAGTAGTACTTATAATAGAACACATCTTTGTGTGGATTTCAAGAAAGCCTTTGGAAGATAATGAGCTTCTGTAGATTTCCATCAAAAATCATAACCATCATAGGAAAGTTGTACAAACACTTTTAATGCAGTGTAATCACTGACAACACTCTCTCCTGCAAAGTCTGGACTGAGACAAGGATGCATCAATCTCGTCCATCCTCCTCAACATCGACTGCATCATGAGCAATACGATATCGGACCAACCCAGAGGTATCAGTGGACCCTGTTCAACCAGCTGGAGCACCGAGACTTTGACCCTCGCTGTCCTTTTCACTAATCACTCCAACC